AAAGACCCTTGTTAAGTTGGCATACAGCGTAGATGTCGTGCTGGGGAAGGTAGGATACAATGTATTCCACGAGCTCGGCGGGCAGAAGGGAGAACGATGCCATGATAGTAGAGATAACGAAAAGAGAGGCAACTGGTGTTGTGTGATGCTGGCTGTCTGAGAAAACCGTGGAAAATCCGAATCCTCCACGTTGAAGCATGAAAAGGTTAATGGCAGGTCTTGGTGTTGTTGACAGTTACGCCACTCGAAGTGATGCCTAGTGAGATAGAGGGGGCCGAGGTCCGTGCACAGCACGTACCGTAGACAGTCACCAAACGTCTGTGTATCCAGACGTTGTTTAAAAGATGATCGGTTGCTGCCATATTATAGCATAGTCATATGCTGATCCCGTCGCCCATCTGCCGCCTGTGTTCGAGAAGGTGATACACAACCACACACATGGCTACGTCACAAGCGGCGGCTTCAAGATACTATGCCGATCATATGCGACCGCACATGTGAAAAAAATGTATCCCAGCACGGGCGCCACGAAGAGCGCCGCATCAGCCTTTACATGTGCTGCCTCAGCCGTAACGCGACGTTCTAATGCTGGGACTACCCCGCGTTCAGGTGGGTATCGATAGACATGACGAGCGGCTAGTTCAGCCGCCGTGCGTCGTATGAGATGCGACATGTTACTAAGAGCATGGTATCCGCATGTTCCCCGGGTGTTCGGGACTGCTTGGGGCTGACTCGAGGTGTGTGAGCACGGGGGTTGGAAGGGAACAACGCGGATCTGCGAACAACAGATGGTAGCCGAGCAGACGGCATGTCATCGCGATTGCATCTCGAGCATGGCGGGTCGCTACTGGGCGTTTATCTGATGGGGCGCGATGATTTGCCTGGAGAAGGTGTGTAGTCTAGCCTCGGTCAAGGCTCGGGAGGCGGTCGAATGACAATCAGCTGGTTCCGATTTATTCCTGGGTTGCACTCGTCGACGACCTTCACGGCACCAGCAACGGACCGATACGCCAAACCTGCCAGACGCCTGCACCTGCGCTCTGCTCCCCCCCGCCATCTCCTATAAACACAGCCATCGCCTACCCCGCTGGTTTTGACGGCACCGCATCCCGCTCTCATATAGACGCTTCGCCGAACTGCAAGTCGCCTACGTCACACGCACATTCGCGCGTAGAATTACCCACCCTTGGTCGCGAACCGGCCTGGTTCCGCGGCCTCTCCCTTGCCACCTCGCTGGGCGCATGGAAAGGACCAGGACGTAGTGTCCAAGCTCCACGGCGTAGTCGGAGTGTCTTGTTCGCTGGTGTTGTTGTTTGGTCGCGACACAAAACAACGTGTTGCGGAGCCGCCAACACCTCACCTCCACACCGCCGCTTGACTTACTGCATTAATAGTGTTCCGGATCGAACACGCAACCTCTACAAACAGAGGGCCCCCCGCCAGATCCAACTCGCCGTAAACCTACCATGACTACCAACAGGCCCTTCTTTGGCGGTTTCCTCGCCGCCTTCCGCGCGCAACAACCCAACCTGCAGAAGACGACGGCCTCACAAGCAGCGTCCGTGGCCTCGTACTCGCAAACCACGGCCTCGCAACAGAGCCAGACTCTCGACACAGCAGCAGCTTCCTCGCGCACAATCACCACCAAGACGCGCTCACCATCGCCCGGTGCAACGACGGTCTCCGTGCAAGCAACAGGCCATTTCCAGCCAACCAGACAACACACGGCCCCCTACAACCGCTCCACATCGCCCAAGGCCCAGGCCTTCCCAATACCAGGCGCATCGCAACGAGGCAGACGGGGCTCGGACAGCTCGTCTGAAGGCTTCCACGAAGCCATGGGCGCCGAGAAGTGGTACATTGGCGGCCGAACAGCAACGGGGGAGGAGAAGTTCTACAAGCTGGGCATGGTCAAGCGACACAGAAGCGCCGACCGCCTGAGTCTTGACAAGCTCAGCATATGAGACGGTCGGGACAAAATTACTTTGGTTGAAAAAGCGTAATTGCATCATCGGCGTTTGGGGGACATGGACGCGGCATCTCAAGGCAAGATCCAGGTTTGGGTATTTTAGAAAGCCTCCCGTCGTATATAACTTTGGGACCGGCTATAGGCTTACATATACACGTATATATCTGCGCTGCTCTTCGCTGAGCTCACTCGAGAGGGCAGTTGTATGTGTTGCGCATTTGCAGCATGCATGTGACGACGGTTGGCATGAGTCATGTGGCACGGAAAAGTCTTTGCAGGCACCTTATACCCGGACCGCACACTGCACCTCACGCAAACTCGACGAACCCAATGTACCCAACGACATTCCCAACTTGGACATTTGGTCGGTCAGCGATACTACATATCCATCGGCGGCAAAGTATCCGACCGGACATTTCTACTCCGATGCCCATGTCGCGCTGCTCCACCCCTCGCGCTACTCCACTCGCCGGATACGCCAACGCCTCGAAGCGATGTACGCGAAAAACCCTGCACGGAAAAGATTCTGTTTGGACAATTCTTCGACGGAATCCAGTACCCACCCGCGGATATGAAGCCGTAGGAAGACGCTAATGTAGCAAGATTGCAGAAAGATAGCCCAACATGCATCGTAGGGCACGCATATCTAATGTCTCGAGTCACTTGCTCTCCTTTGTCTAAACATTCTTCCTAACCTGAGGCTTCAAACACTCTTTCCTGACTTGAGTTGGTACTGCAAGTCTTGTATCACAGCAGCACATGTCCTTGTAATCTTCCCCCGCAGGAGCATCATTCTTTCCCAGGACTCGCCTTCTATGAGTACGCAAGATGGCACCCTCTTCCACATCCTCCTCAGCACCCGCTGGCCCACAGCAATCTTCCCACCCGGCCACCGAACCTGAACATCAAACAACCGAGTCTGAGAAAAACACTGAATACGCCTCCATCATACCTGCACCACGGACTGAGGACGACCAACAAGGCCGTCTTCAACTCCAACGCACAGTCTCATCAGTCAGCCACCATGACATGGCCAATGTGCAATACGTCGCAACAGGTGACAACGACACCATCTACAACAAGTTCACCCCACGCCGAAAAATGGTCATCGTCGCCGTCGTCTCCTTCTGCAGCTTCCTCGCCCCCATCTCCTCGACGACTGTCCTCTCCGCCGTTCCCGAAGTAGCAAAAACATTCAACACAGACGGCTCCATCATCAACGTATCAAACGCCTTGTACATGCTCTTCATGGGCCTATCCCCCTGTTTCTACGGTCCCTACGGAAACATCTACGGCCGGAAATGGGTGAGCGTCGTGAGTGCCGCGTTATTCACCGCATTCAGCATCGGCACGGCGCTAAGCCCCAACCTCGCTGCCTTCTTCGTCTTCAGGATCCTAACCGCGTTCCAAGGCACCGCCTTCCTCGTCATCGGATCAGCAGTCATAGGCGACATTTACAAGCCGACCGAGCGCGCAACAGCGCTAGGTTGGTTCCTCTCCGGTACGCTGATTGGCCCTGCGCTGGGCCCTTTTATCGGTGGAATTATAGTCACGTTCCGCTCGTGGCGCGACATCTTCTGGCTGCAGACGGCTCTTGCTGGTGCCGCGACTGTGTTTTGTTTCTTCCTCCAGCCCGAGACCATACACAGCAAGCGCGCCGACGAGCTCGCGGGTCTGCCTGCAAAGCAGCGCGCAAGCAAGATGTGGGCGTGGCTTAACCCCTTCCGCGTCGTGAGATTATATCGGTACCCGAATATTCTCCTCACGGCCCTCGCGTCCGCGAGCTTGGTCTGGAATATGTACAGCCTGCTCACGCCCATCCGGTACGTGCTCAATCCACGGTTCGACCTGCAGTCCCCCTTGCAATCGGGACTCTTCTACATCGCGCCGGGCTGTGGATACCTCGTCGGCACCTTCTTCGGCGGCCGCTACGCAGACCACGTTGTGAAGAAGTATATCCAAAAGCGGGGCCAGCGCGTATCAGAGGACCGTCTGCGGTCTTGCGTCTTCTTCCTCGGGGGCGTCATACCCGCTTGTATGATTGTGTACGGGTGGAGTGTTGAGAAGCGGGTTGGCGGTGTTGCGCTCCCCGTCATCATGATGTTTCTCCAGGGCGTGGCGCAATTGTTTTGCTTTCCTAGTCTCAATACGTACTGCTTGGATGTTATGCAAGGGAGGAGCGCAGAGGTGGTGGCGGGGAATTACTTTATGCGCTACATGTTTGCGGCGGCGGGGTCGGCGGTGTGTTTGCCTGCCGTTAGGGCGATTGGCGTCGGCTGGTTTTCGACAATTAGTGCGGGGTTCTTGGTTGCTGGGGCGGGTATGACTTATGCGACGGCGGTTTGGGGAAGGGAGTGGAGAGAGGGGATTGAGGAGAAGAAGGCGGCGAGGAAGGTGGGGGATGGCAAGGTGTAGAGAACCAACGGGGTCTAAGAGACCACCAACCTGTAATTCACACTGGCAATGCTATGTCTGTTCTCCAAACGGCTCTGATATCTATCTTAGACTATCCTAGCCTCCTGAGTGTGAACTAGGGCAGCTAATGAGCGGCCAAGCCTACCAGTACAGCGCGGAGCAGCTCAACAAGGGATAGCGCAACTCCACGCGATTGATCACGCCAAACTTCCAGCGAACTTCATCTCTCGTAAACATCTCACCTAAAGTCTTTCTACGAAGCGCTTGTCACCGTCATAGCCCATCGCAACTTCGATATCTGGCGCACAGGCATGCACTTCATAGCCTCTGCATCATTCTTTCTCGGCTTCCTTGGCGTCGCTTCGGCTCAAACATGCGACGGGACGACATGTGGCTACGCTGGTAGCCTCTGCTGTTCTGTCGATGAAATCTGTTACACGGACGCATATGGGAGGCCTAGATGCTCAGTCTCCTCTATGAGTGTAACGCAGATTGTTACTACGACGCAGATTGGAGTTTGGACAAGCGCTTGGTCTGAGATGTTCAATGGGGGTGGTGGGAGCGGAAGCGCGTTGTACACATGCAGTTCCGAGGGGAGTGAGAGTGGTGCGGGGTTTTATACGTGTGGGAGGGATTTTGGGCGTACGTCCATTGGGATGGTATCTTTGGGTGATACGGAGAGCACTTCTTCGGTCACTGCTATTTCGTCGGTATTGGCTACGGATACGAAGTCGGCGACATCGAGTGGTTCATCGTCTGAAGTGCGTATTGCTCCAACGCCAGGATCGGCAAGTTCAGGCGCAAGTGTAGCAATGTGTTGGTATAAGGTCATGGGAGCCGGTACTGTTTTCGCTGTGATCTTTATGTTATGACTAGCGAAGATAGAGTGAGGAGACATGATAGAAAACCATTATATAACACAATGATCTTTTGGACACGAGCGCGCAGTGTTTGGAGAACGAGCAGAGAGAGAGATTGAATAGTCTGCTTATATTCCTGCAGCCTCACCTCAACCTTGAGCTGCCAGGCCAACCCATATGCACGACGCAGCCTGACACAGGGTAGCCTTCTCCAGCACCCCAATGTAACAAGTCGACCACCAACACCCGCGATGACAACGTCAAAGAGCCTTGGGGATTCTGAGCAGTTCACTAGTCGTCTATTGGTGTTGTTTTCCCAGATGCAAATAAACCCCTCCACAATCTCTTCATACCAGGGACATACAGACTCCGATGTGCTTGACTAGTCGTAAGAATCGGCACCGGCGCGTCCAAACCAAGTTCAACACCTATAACGCTATGTCTGACACGACTTGCACCGTGCTCAGGTGAAGTGAGCCTTTGTAGTTCCACTGCGGAGCCATCTGTAGCAGCTAGATCGGGAAGCACTGATTCGCTTGCCGAGCTGTCGCGACGCGGGCTCTTCTCGACAATGCCAATCAAGCCCCCCACAGTTTGTAAGGCATTGAGGTCTTGCTTGCTCACTGGGCCAATAGCTGGAAGAACGCCTCGGTGATGCAGACTTGCTCCGATACGGGCCATAGCCATGGCGTCCAGCTGATCGGACCATGATGGGACGCGATATAAGTAATAGATCAAGTAGCCCAGACCGAGTAGTTGAAGACCTATCAATACCGACATTATGATGATGCTTGACTTTGATAGAACAGGTTTTGGCACGGCAGCACCAGGCGAAGTGTAGATGTGACGTCCATCTAGGATGTCCAATGTATTCCGGCTGGAATCGGGGGAAAGCCAGGTCACGAAGGCTCGATTGGCGACAAATATGGCGATTTCCAGCAAACTCTGAGCTGTATCTAGTGTTTGGTTTTTGCCACCGTTGAAGCCGGGTGCAAAAGCGGCGAAGAACTGCTGCGTGGTTTCGAACAGATCATGGTTCGTTATTCTGATATCATCAAACGTGCGCTCTTCAAAATAGCCGCACTGAGACACAAAATCCCTGCCCTTCCACTCGAGTTCGTTGTAGCCGTTCCCTGGTGTCCAGAGATTTGAGAAAGGCAATCCGCGCCAGAAAAGTTGCCATGAAGGGATCTCGTCAAAGTAGCCTCCAGTTTGATAGGTACCGTTATATGAATGATTTGATACATTTTCGGCTGCTGTGTTCAGCCAGGAACCGTTTGCAAACAGCGCAAGTGCAGTTGTCATTAATGGGCCAGGTATCCTCCAGGTCTCTTTATCAGAAGGATTGACGTCTTGCGAAGTCATCTGAGAACCCTTGTTGAAACAGGCATCTCTGTCTTGCGTCAGTTCCTACTCGTCAAATTCCCCATCTCACATACATGTCAGAGGGTATAACGTCTGGACAATCGCCATAACTATCAGTCCAATCATTGAAATTTTCCGCCATTTCTGCTGGTTTCGGCCAGTGTTCGAGAAGCGGCCCGTATGTGTTATTATTCCAGTTATTTCCTAGTTCAAAATACCCCCTCGTTGTTGTTGCCGTGCATCGGACAGTAGAACTTGTATTGAACGTTGGATCCTCTGTGTCTTGGTCACTGATACTCAGGTCCTTAACGTCAATATACACCTCTTCGGTAAGGTCCTGACGACTGCGTCTCAGTGACCATGGGAAAGCGGTATAATCTCCAGGAACACAAATACGCACTTCTGTATCTAAGAAGCGTTTCCAGAACACGGTGAGAGGTTGTTCACCAGGACATCGTGATGGAAATTCGCCTGCATCCACCTCTTCGCATGATATAGAAGAATTGAGCCTCATTATGTGCTGCCGCAAGACTCCAGTCGCAGTTTCCGCTGGAAGCCCAGCCACGAAGAAATCTGGAATAGGCTCGTCCACCAGCTTACTCTGGAGTGATATATCATTGCGCATGAACACCCAGTAGCGCAGCGATGTCGTCCCTACGCCTATTGACGCATAATAGTTAGTCATTGGTCTGAATGTAGTGTTTACACTCCATAGATGAGACTGTGCCTCGTCGACGGAGATGGATGTTAGCTCCGAGGTCATCCGGGACCGGATAATGGAATGTTGTGCAAGAGCCATTTGTGCAGGCTCAACATCATTCCCAATTCTTTCGTATCGCGGGTGAGCCGTACAGTCATCAGCGGAGTGGTGCCAAGAAGGGATATCTCTGCACGTGGCTACAGATATCTGACTGACTTCCACCAGAATCTGATACAGAGGTTGTTGTATTGCCCCAATGAGGACGAGACAAGCAGCAGGAAGCAGGAAACCTACGCTTGACTTTCGGCCTTGCACCTTTTGCCGGCTTCTGATCGAATTCCAGATTAGAGGTACATTTGTCCATCCGCGATCTGCTAGTATAAACATATCTCTCAGGCTCAGAAACTCGTTTGGCTTTCGCCTCTGACAAAAAAGCACGGCCGCTTGAGCCAAGACTGCAGAGAGGATTGGAACTGAACATTGATTCACGTGGTTAGCACGAGCAGCTGGTAAGGTCTAGTTCGATATTGCTTACTTGTTATTAGCCCAGCGATCGAATTGAGCACGTCGACTGCGGTGTACCAGTTGCGCATACTCAACGCCTTATGTTCAAGGAAGCCTCGTTGTCGGATGTATGAGCCTGAGTTGAGGGGTCGGTGCGCAAGCACGCAGGTCAACACCCATGGAATCACGATGAGTAAGATGTACAGACCAAGAAGCCAGAGGGCTCTAGTGCGATATTGCAGCGATTGCACTGCATGTCTATGGCTTCTTTCGTGAGGTTTGTATGGCTTCCTGGTAGAAGGGTCCATTCTGACAGTAATCGGGTCTGAATGATAAGAGCACAAAATGGACTCAACAAAGAGGTAGATAACGAGATTCCTGAGCAGCGTCTTGGTAGCGTGGCAGGCTGTGCGATTGAGGCATGTAAGCCTTGGCAAGGCTGAGCTTATGGGAGTCGCTCTGCTAATTGGCTAAAAGGCTTGTGATGCTTGTTTTGTGTAACCGATACAATATCTGGCGATAGGCGCAGCGCGAGGCGCAATGTCCGTATCATCTTCCCGCGAGGCAGAAGATAGCAACTGAATCATATTGACGTATCCTTGCTTACGAGCGAATGAACTTGCTCCAGAACGATGAACATCGAGGCTGTCGGAACCGGTGCTGAGCAGCGTGTGAAACCATGCGTCCTTCACCATCGCCTCCTGGAGATGCGAACGTTTTCCTGAGCGATGATTGATTGCATAGCAATGTCAACGCTTGCTTCGATGAGGAGAGAAATGGAAGTGAGTGTGAGAAGGCTGCACGCAATCTCAGCAGATAACGACAGTAGGCATCGAACCCATTAGCTTTGCCTCTACAATGTCGTTCTAGCCCTGCGAAATTATACAGATGTCGTTGTTGGCCGAGTCATGCCTTGTTACCTATGTACTTGTCGGAGGGAAAGAGGCGTGACAGACTGGCAGCACGGGGCTTTCCCAAAGCCAACCCACCACTAGCCGGCCACCTATCGCGCAGTCACCCCACAAACACCATCGCGACATAGTAAGAAAAACACGCCCATTCTCAGCATCGCACATGCGCACGAATTGAACGTATGCTCCGACATCATTATGTAATCAACACCGTGCAGCATGGTCCGTCTTCGTTGAGGCGCATGCCGCTCCGCTGCATAAGCCCGCCTCGCACCCGCCGATACCCGAGGCGCAAAACCCAGTCATACCCGGGCTACCACCCACCAGATTTTCCTGCGCCATCCGTTCGTCGTACCACCCTATCAATTACCATTTATTGTTCATCGTCACAATGGACGATTCCAATCCGAGCACTGGCCAACAAGATGCCAATTCGAGCTCTGGGTCAAGCAAGAAGCGGACCCACCCCGAAGACTTCAAGCGCGCATACAAGGCTTGCATCAATTGCCGGCAGCGCAAGGCAAAATGCATCTTGGGTACCGGGCCAGATGGAGGCGAGCTAAAGCCGCCGTGTCAGAGATGCAAGCGCGAGATGCGCGAGTGCGTTTTTAGGTCGGAGAGGAGTTGGGTCAAGAGGAGGAAACCGGGCGAAGTAGCAAGGGAGGGTGAGGAGGAGGAGGAGGCTATCAGTGGCGGTGGTGGTACTACGTCGGCGTCTGCGACGCGCGATCGACCTCAGTCGAATCCCGCACCACTGCCGTCACCAGGCCATAGATCGTCTATATCGACGCATGGGTTTACGCCGGGTACTAGTCCACATGTCAATGGCTCGAATCGTTCCGAGTTCCATTCTCCTCATGGACACCTACGGAGGATCTCGTCGTCTCATGGCCAGCCAGATCTTGCACATTCGGTGATGCGAACAGTGGTATCGAGCGGGAGCGATGCACTGAATCTATTGTTTGAAGCCGCGCATCATCGCGATGCTATCGACAATCAAGAACAGTCGGGATCACAAGCATATGAAACACCCAGGTCAGGTCCATCCGGCTACGACAATGGCGTTCCGTCGTCGCCATTCCACACCTTTAGAGCACAGCCGGTGCAGATGTCGACGCCGTCACCAGAGACGCTGAAGACGTGGACATCGTGTCGATTCGTGCAGATGGGCTGGTTCTCTGCACATGAGGCAGTAACATATGTCGATTTGTTCTTCAAGAATTGTTCGCCGTTGTCGCCGATACTAGGGGAGTTTTATGCGCATCACGAAAATCACTATACGCTGATCGCGCTGGATCCTTTCTTGTGCACTACTATACTGATGATCTCGTCGAGGTACAATATCCTTCCTGGCGTGGGCGGCGCTTCGAGAGGCTACTTTGTGCATGATAGGCTTTGGGAGCAGTGTCAGCGCTTCATCATGAAGATCATGCTCGGACAGGTCAAGCCATCCAAAGCGCAGAGTAGGACTATTGGGTCGATAGAAGCCCTGCTCCTGCTATCGGAGTGGCATCCTCGAGCGCTACATTTCCCTACGGCCGCTGATGGCTGGGATTGTGAACTTATGATTGGCGCAAATAACACCACAGAAGAAGGCGCAAAGCTGTTAGAAGGGGATGTGACGTCGAACCGATGGCTTGAAGATGTCATTGAGCCCGCGAAACGCTCCGACCGTATGTCATGGATGTTGATGGGTTGCGCATTATCATTAGCACAAGAGCTGGGACTATTCGAGGACAATGCGAGAATAGACAAGGACCAGGTGTCGTACCCAAAGTTCACCACGGAATACCTTATCCTCCGAAGGATCCGAGCTCGGAAGCTGCTATACGTGCTACTCGAACAACTTTCGTGGAGACTAGGCTGCACATCGATGATACCACAGAGCTTAAACCATGCTTTAATGGAGAAGATACCCGTTGACTCTGCGACGGGTGCTGTAGAGCAATGGCAGTCCTTTATGAGCGCATGGGTCGAGCTCACCAAACTCGCCCGGTCAATCTCCGACACCATCTATCCAAACACAGCCACAACACGAAGCTTACTACGCACCGGTCGCTACATAGGCTTGCTCGAGCACTTCCAACCACTGCTAGTATCGTGGAGGAAAAAGTACCTCGACCCCTGCAAACTCAAAGTTGGTCTGCACGATATGCTCCACATTGAATACCAATACGTTCGTATCTACACGAACTCTCTTGGCATGCAGGCAGTCGTCGAACGCACACTCGCGGAAACAGATCCCGATGTGCCGCAGGAGGATAATCTGCCTTTCAACCTCGAACCGCGGGACTACGATTTTATCCAAGAGGTTGTGGATGGAAGTTGTCAGATACTACAAAAAGTCTGTCAGCTATCTGAGACAGGAGCGCTGCGTTACTCGCCTGTACGAATCTTCCTCAGGATAACTACGAGTTCAATCTACCTGATCAAAGGCCTGAGTCTGGGATCAAGAAATGCAAAATTGCAGAATTGTCTGGATATCCTGGATGCGGCTATCCGGGCTCTTCGCGCAAGTAGGTCACTCCTCCGCGTTCGATACCCTGTTACTAACAAGACGCTCCAGGCACTCTCGACGACATGCACCTAGCCTCCCGCTACGCGACCCTCCTCGACCTCCACGTCGCCCGCCTCCGCGAATCCTTTGTCGTCTCCTCTCGTCCCCCTCGCCTACCTTCCCGCGCCACATCAACCACCCACAACACATCCTCCAACAACAACAATCTCTCTTCTCACACTCCATCCGCTGCAACAGAGGGCATGGCCTTCTTGAACAACCACAATGCAGGCCAAAGCAGTTTATCAAGCTTAGCGGAAAACGTCACCGGCTTGATGCCGGATATGCCGGATGATGATTGGTTGGCGCTGCCTTTTGACCCGGCGATGGCACCGTTTGGATTGGGGGATGGTGGGGTTGGGGGTAACGGGGGGTTTCAGGGATTTGACGATGGTACGCTGGACTTCATATGGAACTTGCCCATGTAGAGAAGTGTGAAAAGGGATAATGTGATGGAATTCAGACTTAGCAAGGGTAATACGGTCTAGCTGTGTAGCTACAATACTCGGCTAACTCTGTCATGGTAGCTCAAAAAGTAGAATAGATTAATAGATTCTAGCGGTTATCTACATGTCTGTCCCTTCGATGTATCCCATGTTGCTGTTGTCGCTGGTTTCGCCAACATCACAATACAGTTTTCTCATGGTTTTAGGTTTGTTCAGTAGATCTTTGGAGGCACTCTGAGTCATGGAGTATATGTAAGGAATGATCAGCTGAGTGCCCAGAAAAGATTGTAAGGAGTCATTTGATGTTCTACATGCACTTCGCACGGAGAAGCTAATCACCAGTTAAGAACGGTCATACCTTGTTCCAGAGTTGTGGAGTTTGTTTTTGAGAACCAAAGAGTCAGACAACGATGGATGGGAGTGGAGAAGAACATGACATGTAATCCGATGAATCTAGTAGCCATGTACGCACGTCTTTCATCTGCTTCCTAGAACTCCAACATAAGCTGCTTGTGAGGTATACGCCATCGCGGTACCACTAGTATTATCGGAGGCCACCACGGCGAAGACCTGGAAAAATAAATGAAACGGCGGCGAATGATACAAGCAGTGGGATGAGACAAGGTGTTTCAGGAAGTAGCTGGACACACCTCAAGTGTTGCATTGCGAACGAGGACTTGCGATGTACTTGCCAGACGCTTCTCGGCCTGATCTAGTGATAAAGAAATGTTTAAAGCAATGTCCGTTTAGAAAATAAGCACCCACACCTATCGTATATCACTCGATCGACTTCACATCTATCTCGTCTGCTCTAGCCTCTCACCTCCAATCTCAGTTCACACGAAACACATAAATGTCGTTACCAAGATGCATTGCAAACCCCCCGCCGCAACAGTCCGACAATATGGTCGTAGTAATTGCTCTCACTTTACTGACCGTAGCCACCCTGCACGCAGTTTCCACAAATCTGGTCTTGTGTGTTGAGTATGGCGTACAACTTAGCTTACTCCATCAAGCCTTCATAGGCAAGCTACCAGAACTTCCACGCGTTTATCTCTCGGTGATGGGAACATGGGCAGTATTTCGTTTTTGGTACTGGCATTCTCATGGGAAGGGTGAGGTTGCGCAGTTGGACGGAAGTGCATCCGGAAAAAGGAACTGACGAGGCTGTGACGGTCCATATCAAAGTCAGAGTGGAAGCTGCAGGAAGGAACTATGAAAGGGTGTAGAATCTTCTAGTCAAGACAGACTTCAGATGTAGAGGAAGATTTTGGGATGAATGAAAGGGTCTCTGGCCAATACTGTACAAGCGATAAGAAGTCCACAAATCGCATCACAGACTTCCTGCATACGTGTATGGAATTTCTATACAAATAGGTCATTTGTGCAAACTCATCTCCTCTCTCAACGCATCCCTGACAATGACTCCACACATCTTCTTATACGGATTCGTCCTAACGCTCATCTCCCTTGCAACCTCATCCCCATACCGCGCCGCAGCCGCAAAATCTTTACTTGCTGATTCCTCCAACTCAGATGTCGTCATCCCCTTCCACCGCGACCCTGACTCCACAGCTTTCAGATAAAGATACGCGCGGTGCGAGTAAGCTGTCCGAAGAACCTTTGCGGCGTGAGGAGATACCGCTGGCGTGGAAGAGGATGTTGAGGAAAGATGAATCGCTTGCGCAAGATCTGAGAACACCGATTCGACATCTGATCCTAATGTCTCAGTCGTGTTCTGAAAGATGTTTTTCCCCACTTCCATGTTTGCTTCTAGCTTCATCCTCCTCACCATAGCTCGGTTCACCCAGGCGCCCGCATATTCTGGGTACTGCTCTACCACCCTGTCCAACTCTTCTATTGCAGCATCTATCTCAGCGATGCTCGAGGTGCTGGATGTACGTGCTATGATATCGCTTTGTTGGCGCTCCAGCAATGTGAGCAGCGATGTGGGAATACTGGGATGAGCGGGTAATGAAGGGTCGATTGATGATGAAGTTTCTTTTTGTTGGCCGACAGATGATGGAAGGGTTTCTGGGTCGAAGATCGCATTCAGGATCCTGGCGTCGTTTGCGGATAAAGATGTGTTGGGGAGAGTGACTGCCATGATTGTGTGATGTCTGGTGTGGTCCTCGTAGTGATGGGCTTTGGAGCGATGAATTTGGTCACGAAGATTAAAGACGGGTCAAAGTTCAACTCGGGGTTTTGCTATGCGTTAAGAGCAATGTACGGAGAGTTTCTAGCACTATTAGTTTGATCATTTTGACATATGCAGATCACGTTTGCTCACTCGGCTTAGGCGGGAGTTCACGGCAAAGATTTAGGTCTGGTACGGAAGGCGGCTGGTGCAAGGCTGCCTGGGGTCTCGGCCTATGCGGGACCATGACACCCACCACAACGAATCTCAATACACGCTCGACCTATCAGGCACTTGAAGAGACAAAATTTGTAGAACTGACCAAGCGCATCAGCACAAGATGAAGATTGTCGGATCATAGCATGTGACAATGGACTTGCGCGGTATTGAGCCGTGCTAGCGGAAAGACAAAGCCTCGCCAGGCAATCGCCGGCTGACCCGCCACGACGCGACGAACACTCTTGACACAATGTCACGACTGCGCAGCCTCACACCCAGATCGCGCGTGGATGATTACTAGCGTCATGTCCTCGACACGCTCTACATCGTTGGTCGTAAGCCTGCTCCAGCTACGCGGTTGAGACGCGATGTATCCACGGCGGCTGCCGGCGGAACATCCATTGGCGGAAAGCGGCGGTACCAACATCTGCTTTCTTCTGGCGGCCACCACACGTGAGCTCGGCATAACCAACCTGATGACGCTACCAGGGTTGGATATGGCAATTGCTAGCAAAAGAGATCGGATAGCGGTTTGAGAAGGGAAGTGGATGCAGAGTGGTAGAAGATAAAGAATGGCTGCGCATCGGTGCCTAGTGTTGAGTTCACTACACTTCACAGTACTGCTCTGGTACCGCATAAGCAAAGGCTTGGATACTTTCGGTTCTACTTACATATAGTCGTTGTTCGCTATCAACTGCTCTATCATGGCGCCCGCTGCTATCTCTCCTCCTTCATCGCCACGGCCATCCGCCGCTTCTCCTTCAGAAGTCTCGGCATACCAAGGCTACCACCATGTACACTGGTATGTCGGTAACGCCAAACAAGCAGCCTCTTTCTATGTATCGCGCATGGGCTTCGAGCGTGTCGCATACCGTGGCCTAGAGACTGGATCAAGAGCTACCGCCTCTCACGTTGTACGGAACGGCAACGTGACTTTCATCCTCACATCACCTTTGAGGTGTCTAGAGCAAGGCTCAAGATTCAGCAAAGAGGACGAGCAGCTACTACGAGAGATCCACGAGCATCAAGAGCGCCATGGTGATGCCGTCAAAGGTAAGCGATAGCATCCCTTGTAACCATGGCGACCATCACTAACTAGATTCCCAGATGTCGCATTCGAAGTCGACAACGTAGATGCCATATACTCCGCTGCCGTCTCATCAGGCGCAGCCACCATTTCCGCTCCCCACGACATCTCCGACACCTACGGCTCAGTCCGCCTCGCTACCATCCGCACTTACGGCGACACAACGCACACGCTCATTCAAAAAAATGACTACACCGGCATCTTCCTGCCTGGCTACCGCCCGGAATCATCCGCCGCCGACCCCCTCCAAAAATACCTGCCGCAGGTCAATCTCGAAGCAATCGACCACTGCGTCGGCAACCAAGACTGGGATGAGATGGAAAACGCATGCGAGTATTACGAAAAGGTGCTTGGTTTCCATCGCTTCTGGAGCGTCGACGACAAGGACATCTGCACTGAATACTCAGCGCTCAAGAGTATCGTCATGAGTTCGCCCAACGATGTCGTCAAGATGCCCATCAACGAGCCGGCCAAGGGCAAGAAGCAAAGCCAGATCGAAGAATACGTTGATTTCTATGGCGGTCCCGGTGTCCAGCATATCGCGCTACGAACGGATAACATCGTTCGCGACATTACCAACCTGAAAGCGCGAGGCGTGGAATTTATCAAGGTACCCGAGACGTACTACGACTCTATGAAGATGCGACTCAAGAAATCTGGACTCACGCTCAACGAGGACTTTGAGGTGCTCAAGAGTTTGGACATTCTTATCGATTTCGATGAGGGTGGTTATCTGCTGCAATTGTTTACGAAGCATTTGATGGATCGGCCTACAGTGTTTATTGAGATTATCCAGCGGAACAACTTTGACGGCTTTGGCGCAGGCAACTTCAAGAGCCTGTTCGAGGCGATTGAGAGGGAGCAGGATGCGAGGGGGAACTTGGTTTGAGTGGGATCGTGACGTTGATCGTTCGGGTGTTGTCGCATTTTCCGGTGTTCATCTTGTTACCTAGCGAATCAGTCTCTGGCTTTCCTTCCGCACATTAGCACAGCTGTTGTCGAATACGATACACGTTACGTCTATCGCAAAGTTCATACCTTATCTTTGGCATTCAAATCCTACATGACTAGTTCTTGTGTCCCCGTCTCAACCTGCAACGCCACCCCGAAACGCGTTTCATCCCCCTGCTTCAAGCGTCGTCAACACCAGCACCCTTTGAAACGCACATCCTCTCATATCACACCCAGCCAAGAATAAGTGACTCAAGGAAACTCACCCGAGAGGACGCTTGCCCAAGCTTGTTCATACCGCACCGCGACGGCTTGACCCAGCCAAGCCACAACCGCATTGTGGACGAGCGATAGCATTTAGAATCCCGTGACGGGAGATCTTCCGGCCGCGTTCGCACCCGGTCGCGAACGTTGTCGGCATTTGTATTTCCATCGGTGGTTGAAGATCCGTGATGATTGGGGAGATTGCGTATAAAGCAGTCGTTGTCGCTCGGCCATGGTAGAGCATAACGAGAGTAGCGCCGACTTGTGCTTTCTGAAGCCAACAGCGAAGCTCTGCCAGATGAACGGATTTCCAAAGGAACCTCTGCTTCAGCACTTCTTATCGTTTGGAGGCGAACCTCTGCCGCTGTAGCTCGTCGCGAGCTGAAAACTCCCCAGATCCGCTGGACTGTTCATCGTGGGTATTGGATCGTCCAGCGGAGACGAACCTGGGGGCGTCATGAAGCGCGCAATGGCTTGGTTGTGGCAATGTGTCTCTTAGAAGATATCGGGCTTGAGGTTGGCATACATCACATGTTTGCAAAGTTTTGAACAGCTTGGCGTGTGGTCTAGTGTCATTACTTCGTCATGTCTACAGTCTGATAGCACATTGAGATCCAAGTACAGTGATAGAGTGAGAGACAAAGACATGGTGATGATAGGCAACGGATGAACATGACATTATGCACTAACAGAAGAGATGACCACGTAAAGAATGAATGGCTGCCCCGTTTTATAAGAAATTCTTGTTTCAGTTTAACGTCTGCCGTCATTTACGTAATGACGGCCTATTGTGTTCCCATACTCGTACAGTTGATCGTTCTGCCAGGTTGTGGTGGCAGATCTTGTCTAGACATGAAAGAAAAGCGTTGCGTGTGATCAGAGTTGCTAACAATCAATCCAAACTGATGAGACTGACTGACTGACTGATTGCTTGGCAGTCAGTTCAGTGTCAGTTTAGAGCTCTCGTCTTATCAGTCAGTTCAGTTTAGAGCTCTTAAAC